ATATATATATATATATGTAAATGTTTTTATTAAATAAGTTTTTCCACAGAGTAAAAACAATACAAATTTTAAGTTAGATAAGAGAAATAGAGAAAAGTAATGGAAAAGTGAAAAAAATAAAAAGAGATAGAAAAGAAGGGAAAAAAAAGAATAATAAAGAACTGGCTTCCGATCTTCTTAATAGCAGTTATAAGTACATTTATATTTTACTTTCTCTCTAAGGTTACATCAGAGTTAATCCTAAAATTCTAATGCAGAATAAAAGTGAACGATCCAATTAGTTTAATAGTAGCATCATACCAAATCATGGTCTACAGGGTTGATTCATATATAATTCACAGTATGGCTTTCATCATCCATCCACTTAACATTCTGGTTATAATGGTGCTTGGACTTCCAACAGCAGAGCAACAATCACACCTATAATTTGCCATTTCAAACTGTGATTAAAAAGTATGCCTCCAATTAGGCTTTCTGATTCTGTTTATTGGTCAGTGGCAAAACATGGCTTTGCAATTCAGATTTCATTTCAGACTTTAATTAAGTTTCATAGCCATGGCTTGGCATGATTCTTAAAGTAAGCAATTCCATATAAACCCATGATTTACCAGTTTTTCTTCCCTTAATTCAGGAACCTAGGATGATAAAATAATGGATCACGCTAACTAATCAGTGATTTCAATATACAAATGACAGACTGTAGGCCCTACGATATCTTGAGTGTTATATGTATTGAAATATAATACAAATAAATAGACATTTGAATGCAATAAAATAATAAGAACAAATTCTGATTGGGAGGCATTGACAGAGTGGGACTCAGGAAATAAATAATCTCCAATCTCTTAAAGTAAATGTTAGAGCTTGAAGGCACTAGCCATCTGGCCCAGGACTGCCAAGATCACAATGTGGCTCACAGAAATCAATTACTAGTTTAAAATTTCAGCAACCTAAAAATGATTTTATGTTTTTCTTCATTTTTTAAAAAAGCATTTTTAAAGATGCATGGAAAGAAAAGGATATTTTACATAATTTATGAAATGGAAATCAAACTATCAAAATACAGTTTTCTCACTGGTATCATAAATTTCATGATTTCAAAAGAAACAACTACAGTGGTACCTCGGGATACGAACTTAATCCGTTCCGTGACTCTGGACGTATCCCGA